ACCCCTGATTTAAGACATCTGATTCTGTCAGGCCTGTGCAGATCACCCAGGGTGATTCCTTACTTAAAGTCAGCTGATTAGTGTTTACAGTTATGTCTGGGAAATAGCTTTACAGTAATACCTAGATTAGTACCTGGATAACAGGACTCCGGTTAAGGTGACCTCACAAAGCCATCACAGTCCAGCCCTTGTTTAGTCTGCACCCATTCACATCTTAAACCATGATCTCCAAACTATGACCATACAAAACCCTGCTTCCACCACTCATGACGTAACTCACACAGCCTCACGCACTAGCCCTTCCAGGCTTTCATGACTGCTTTCTATCTGAGAACTGATTCTGAGGAAAACGAGTTATCAAACTGGGCGGGACAGTCTTACTGGCGGGTTTATCTAACTCCAAAGCGGCAAATAGGCATGAGTATTTTTCAGTTTGCTGTAATGTCAACAATTTGACTCTGGTTTTTAAAACTGACTGGCAGGTAAAGGTGTTTATCACTCTTGGGTTCAAGGGCAAGTGTAGGTAGGAACCCTTTCAGGTACGCTCCTCTCTGAAAGACTGCCGCGAATGGGGCTTGATGGTGAGGCCCCGGTAAGTACTGGTGACTAACAACTGATGCAGCAGAAAGGAAGCCGTTCTTTGCATTGATTGGCAGGATTGCCGACCAAGGGACCTGTTCCTGGGGTCCTGTCTGAAGCAGGACAGGCACTGTTGACCCATTTTCCAGGAAGCTGTGTTTGGGCTCTATAGTGGCCTGGGGTGTTGGACATATCTCTGGACCACATGAGTTTACAGGAACTTTGTTTTTAAGTAAACATCTTTGTTAGCACATGTTTGCAGTCTCTGGGCTTGTTTGTTTTTTTTAATTGACTTTTAGACAGAAACATCGATTTGTTGTTCCACTTATCCATGACCAGGCATTGAACCGCAACCTGGATGTATTAGGACAACGCTCTAACCAACTGAAATGCCTGGCCAGGGCAATACACATGTTTTGAGGAAAATAAAATGACATAGACCCTGGTGCTCAGTGGTTAGAGCATTGGCCCGTGCACCACAGGGTCTCAGGTTAGATCCCCAGCCCCCGTCAGGGTGCATGCTGCGGAAACAGCCATGTGTCTCTCTCCCCTCTCCCCCTCCTTTCCACTCTAATAATCAGTGGAGAAAATATCCTCAGGTGGGGATTAACCAAAAAAAAAAAAAAAAAGGAAAGCAGGTCCAGCCCTAATTGGGTGACCGTTGGTTAGAGCAGTGGTTGCCAACCTTTCGGACCTCACGGACCACCAGTGGTCCACGGACAACTGCTGGGTTGGTTGCGCGTTTGATCCAGGCAGGACACATACAAGAATCAACCGATGAATGTATAAATAAGTGGAACAACAAATCGGTGTTTCTTTCCCTCCCTCTCTAAAATCTATAAAATTTTTAAAAATTGGAAAGTTTAAAAAATGTGTATCTCGTGTCCTCCAACTTCCAAATGACTACATCTCTGCCATTCAAACAAAAGCCGATTGGAAATGTGGGTCTAATTCGGCCCGCACTACCATCACCTGGGAGGCTCCCAAGCCCTCACTGCCCAGGCCAAGTACCTCCGCCTCAGGGAGATACAAAGAAAGCAGCCATTAAAGTTCCCCAGCTGCTCCCACGGGGCCAGGCCTCCCCTGAAACCCCCAGCCCTGGTGCTTTCTAAATGAAAGCAGCTGAGGCCAGTCCACGATCTGCGCCATGTTGCGGGGAGGGGGCTCGCCAGCGGCCTGCCTCTGTGCTGAGGCCTGTGCTGAGGCCTGTGGAAGCAGCGGAGTCCGCTCTCCTTCAAGCAGTGGGAATGCCAAC